TCGGCAAAGGAGAAGTGCTCACTAACACAGATTTAGACAGATTTGTGAACAATATTTGAGAGAAATAGGCCTTTTGTGAACATAGAAAAAGTCTTAGATCTTTGAGTTCAGCTCATGACAAATGGGGGCAAAAACAAAAGTGTTGCGTTTATAATTTTATTCAGTGTATATATATGTATGTGTGTGTGTGTGTGTATATAAATACAGTATGTATGTATGTATGTATGTATATGTATATATAATGTGTGAGGTTGTTTTTTAATGGCTGCATTTATTTGTTCAAAAATACAGCAAAAGTAGTAATATTGTGAAATACTATTACAGTTTAACATAACTGTTTTCTGTTTTAATATATTTCAAAATGTAATTTATTCCTGTGATGGCAAAGCTGAATTTTGCCATCTTTGCCATCATTGAAGTCTTCAATGTCACATGATCCTTCAGAAATCATTCTAATATGCTGATTTGCTGCTTAAAATATACCATTATTGTTGAAAACAGTTGTGGAAAACACTTTTTGTTGGTATATATGGGGGGGGGTTGGTATATATTTGAAATAGAAATCTAACATTATAATGTTTTTACGTTTAATAAATTTATTGCGGGGGGGTCACGTGGCCAGGACCAGGATGGCAGCTTAGCGGATAAGCTCCGAGAAACCGTGCACAATTTAATATAAAAACCCCTTATATACACGGCCAATCTTTGAACAAAGCATCAGCGTTGATATGTCGAAACCTTCAGCAACTAAACAGTGTGACACTTTTACTCGAGCGCGCAAGTCCAGCGTAAAAACAACTTCGTCGAGTAACGTTACACCTAGTGAAGTGGAAGCTAACCACATGGAGAGCTTAGCAGAAGTTTTAAATGAAGTGAAAGCACTTCGAACAGAGATCGGAACGAAGTTGGACAGCATTGATACCCGTCTTACTATTATGGCGAACTCAATGGCCGCGTTGGAAAGCAAAGTGTCGGATGTAAAACGAGATGTGTCTTCTAATGCAGCGCGTATTGAGGAGACTGAAGGCCGCATGCACGATACAGAAAAGACACTTGAAAAAACAGAAGCCGCACTTGATTCAGCCATCAAAAGAATCGCCTACCTCGAATCAAAGACTGATGACTTGGAGAACCGGGGCAGAAGGAAGAACCTCCGGCTCTATGGTATTCGAGAGGGCGCCGAGGGCCAGAAACCTCTCCTTGAATTTATAAGTGAGATGTTGACACGATGGCTGGGACTGAGCCCAGATAAACCATTCACCTTAGAACGGGTTCATCGCACACTAGCATCTGGGAAGCCCAACCAAAACAGAGCAATACTCATCCGCTTCTTGAAGTTTCAGGAGAAGGAATTTGTTTACCGTGAATCAAGGCGGCGAGATATCACACACGACGGGGTCAAGATATCCTTTGCGCAGGATCTCTCAGCGGAGACGGTACGGATTCGACGGGGATTTAATCCAGTCACGAAACTGTTTGTTGATATCAACGCTTTCCGTGGATTTCAGCATAATCCTTGCAAGCTTCGAGTGCTATACAACGGCAAGATTCATCTCTTCTCAACGCCGCAAGAAGCTGAAAGGGGGTCACGTGGCCAGGACCAGGATGGCAGCTTAGCGGATAAGCTCCGAGAAACCGTGCACAATTTAATATAAAAACCCCTTATATACACGGCCAATCTTTGAACAAAGCGTCAGCGTTGATATGTCAAAACCGTCAGCAATTATTAAACAGTGTGACATTTTTACTCGAGCGCGCAAGTCCAGCGTAAAAACAACTTCGTCGAGTAACGTTACACCGAGTGAAGTGGAAGCTAACCACATGGAGAGCTTAGCAGAAGTTTTAAATGAAGTGAAAGCACTTCGAACAGAGATCGGAACGAAGTTGGACAGCATTGATACCCGTCTTACTATTATGGCGAACTCAATGGCCGCGTTGGAAAGCAAAGTGTCGGATGTAAAACGAGATGTGTCTTCTAATGCAGCGCGTATTGAGGAGACTGAAGGCCGCATGCACGATACAGAAAAGACACTTGAAAAAACAGAAGCCGCACTTGATTCAGCCATCAAAAGAATCGCCTACCTCGAATCAAAGACTGATGACTTGGAGAACCGGGGCAGAAGGAAGAACCTCCGGCTCTATGGTATTCGAGAGGGCGCCGAGGGCCAGAAACCTCTCCTTGAATTTATAAGTGAGATGTTGACACGATGGCTGGGACTGAGCCCAGATAAACCATTCACCTTAGAACGGGTTCATCGCACACTAGCATCTGGGAAGCCCAACCAAAACAGAGCAATACTCATCCGCTTCTTGAAGTTTCAGGAGAAGGAATTTGTTTACCGTGAATCAAGGCGGCGAGATATCACACACGACGGGGTCAAGATATCCTTTGCGCAGGATCTCTCAGTGGAGACGGTACGGATTCGACGGGGATTTAATCCAGTCACCAAACTGTTTGTTGATATCAACGCTTTCCGTGGATTTCAGCATAATCCTTGCAAGCTTCGAGTGCTATACAACGGCAAGATTCATCTCTTCTCAACGCCGCAAGAAGCTGAAAAGTTCTACAAAAGCATCCCACAGTCAACGTAGAATCTACAGTCGGGTGATCTACTGAATTAAACCAACATGTAACGATGCTGGAACATCTGTAGATAACAGCGGACAATCGAGATGTATAGTAGGAGTGAGTTTAAATAATTCTAAGTATATTTAGTCGGCGCGTACTAAATTTTAAATATAACGTAGCCTACCTACTGTAAGTAATATATATATATTTTTTTTTTTTCTTTGCACGACGCACCGACTGGGTACAATTGAGTTGACTTTGTTCTATACGGTTTGTAGGTTATGTATATTAGAGAAAGCCGGGTATTGTTTTGTTTTGATACGGTCGAACTACATATTCTTACAGTTAAAAGGGGAGATCAATATATTAAGTTGAATGTGCATAGTTGACAGGTATTGACTGTTTTGTTGGGATCTTGGGCTGAGCTACGCTGGCTAGTTGCTCCTCAAATATGGTGGATCAGCGTCCCTCAGATTTTCACTTAAGGGGAGGGGACCTACTGTAAGTAATATATATTTTTATTTTTTTTTTCTTTGCACGACGCACCGACTGGGTACAATTGAGTTGACTTTGTTCTATACGGTTTGTAGGTTATGTATATTAGAGAAAGCCGGGTATTGTTTTGTTACGGTCGAACTACATATTCTTAGTTAAAAGGGGAGATCAATATATTAAGTTGAATGTGCATAGTTGACAGGTATTGACTGTTTTGTTGGGATCTTGGGCTGAGCTACGCTAGCTAGTTGCTCCTCAAATATGGTGGATCAGCGTCCCTCAGATTTTCACTTAAGGGGAGCGGGGGTAGGCATTTCAGTTGGAAGTGCCAGGGTTAAAAGTCGAATAGTTCGATGTTCTGAGTGTGTATGTGTGTTGGGGGGGTGGGGGTCATTTACACTTGCATTTTTATTTTATTTTTATTTTTTTCTCTCTCTTTTTTTTTTCTTTTCTTCCATATTTCAAAATGTTATGATAATTTATGGAGAAAACAAAACTAACAGACAGTCTGGATATTAAAATTACAAGTTGGAATGTCCGTGGAATGAGAAAATTGGCCAAGCTGAAACAAGTATTGAATAGGATAAAGTATCTCAAATCTAAAATAGTTTTTCTACAAGAATCACACTTGGTTGCATCAGATATACATTACTTGAATAAAAGATGGCCAGGCCAAGTATTTCATGCAACTTTTAATAGTCATGCAAGGGGCGTAGTTATCCTGATTCATAGGTCATTGCCATTTCAAGTTAGAAAAACCATTCAGGACCCTTCTGGAAGATATATTATTGTTCAGGGGAGTATTTTGACACAAAAGCTTAACTTTATAAATATGTATGGTCCAAACGATGACAGCCCATTATTTTTTGAGAAATTATTTTTAACCGTGTCTGCTTTGGAGGGATTTAATATTATTGGAGGAGATTTTAACTGTACCCTCGATCCTGTATTGGACAGATCCACCCAAATTGATGCAACTCATATACAAACCAGAAAAACAGTAATTGATTATATGAAGGATTTAAGATTAATTGAAGTTTGAAGAATGCTAAACCCAAATAAAAGAGAATATTCCTGTTATTCAAGTTCCTATAAAACTCACTCACGCATCGACTATTTTATCTCTATGGAACTGTTGTCTAATGTGAAAAAATGCTGGTATAATAGTATAGTAATTAGTGATCATGCAGCAGTATCTATGGAGATTAATTTGGGTGGATTTCAGCATTGTCCTAGATGGAGGTTGCAAACGTATTTGTTACAAGACCCAGCATTTATTACATTTATGGAGAATTGTATTGATAAATATTTTGAACTAAATACGAATGAAACTACAGCCAGTATTAGATGGGAAGCATTTAATGTCAGGGTTGGGGATGAAGGATGGAGCGAGGACTCAATAGTGCGGGAAGATAAGGGCTTTATTAATAAAATAAAACAAAACAGACAACAAAAACTACCCCGTGGGGGAAAAACAGGCTGGCAAGGCTAGGCAAGGCAGGATCTGGACACAACACGACAGGACAGGACACATCCAGGGAGATATGGTGACGAACTGACCCAGGACTGCAAACACAGGGAGAATAAATGGAGAGCAAATGAGGAGGGTAACGAGGGAACACATGTGGGGCAAATAACCAATAATCAGGTAACAAGATGGGTGGGGTCAAGACAATTGACATGAGAGCACATGGCATACAGGAAACAAAGACAAAAGCCATGTGCTCACACAAAACAAAACACAAGCACATGGCCAGCCAAACAAATCACAAGCCATGTGCTTGAACAAAAAGACACGAACACGCAGCTAATGAGAAAACTCATAAGCCGCGTGTTCACACAAGACAACAAGAAAAGCACGCGGCTGAACACAAACCGCGTGCTACACAAAACAAACACTCCCATTGCCATTACCAAACATCTTTTATGATAAAATTAACAAACTAATTGCTCAATTTGTTTGGAATGATAGAAAAGCTAGACTTCGTCTTAAGTTCTTACATCTGCCCTATGAAAGGGTAGGGCTTCAACTTCCCAATTTTAGATGGTACTATATGGCTGCCCAACTTACTTCAGCACTAAATTACTTCAGTACAACAACACCTGCTTGGGTAGACATTGAACAAAACTCCAACCCAGATACACCATTAAAAATGTACCTATACTCTTCAGATACTAAGTCATTGAAGAAGAACACAAAAAACCCTTTCCTTAAAAATACTGTTTCAGTCTGGCATGCTGCACATAAGCATATAGGTGATATGCCGAGATTATCCCAATTTACTCCTATTTGGGGTAATGAACAATTTACACCTGGTAATAAAGATGGAGGATTTAAGATATGGAATATTAGAGGCATTCAGAAAATTATGGATTTATATGAAGATGGAGTTCTACTTTCTTTTGATCAGCTATGCCAGAGATATGTAATTCCCAAAAAGCATTTTTTTAAGTATCTACAGTTTAAAAGTTACATGTCATCAAAAGAAGAACAGATCATCTGTATACCATCTTTATCAAAATTAGAGGAAATAACTCTCGGAAATTTAGAAGGTAAGGGTCACGTATCTGTGTACTATAATTTAATGGTGAAACACAGTACTGAATCAACATTGGACAAATTAAATGCCTGGAAAATGGATATACAGGAAGATATAGACGAGGAAGACTGGAACTATGCTTGTCTTAAAGCACAAACGCAGAAAATAAATACAAGGTTTAAATTACTTCAATATAAATGGTTAATGAGAATCTATATAACTCCTGTCAAACTAGTTATCGAACTGTATCGGACTGGAAAGGCTAACTTACATTGCTAAGGGTAGACGGAAAGACTTTGATCAGCTATGGGAGCCATACATAAATATCATGTAAAATGGAAATGTAGACCTTACTGAAAAAGACATTGTAAAACATTCTCTGTAACAAATTTATTTATATATTTATTTATTTTATTATTATTTTATTGTATTTTATTTTACTATTAGAAATATTTACTTATTAATTTATTTTATTTTATTATTATTTATGCATTTATTTAAAGAAAAAAAAAGTGTTAATTGAACGTGTAAGTGAAGGGGTGTATGCTTGTGTACTTGTTCTGGTGTTACATAGGCTATTTTGTTACTATATGTATAGCTGATGTGTGTTTATAAAAGAAGAAAAAGGACAATAAACACATTGAAAAAAAAAAAAAGATTTATTGCATCCCTGCTGAATAAAGGTGTAAATCTCTTTTAAAATAAAAATTTGTTCTGTCCCCAAACCTTTTCTATACATTTTTTTTATATCCCTTGAATGTTTCTCACATTTTTATACTTCCCTTCGTGTTGTTCCCGCCTCTCAGGCACGAGGAGCGCACATGGAGTATGGAGCGGACGGACAGCATGCACTCTGACTGTCAGTCGGGGGCGATCTCTTCCTCCGTTGGCACCAGTAAATGCAGCAGCCCGGCGTGTATGGAGGCTCGTGCCCGCCGTGCTGCATACTGTGGTTATCCTGATGCTACACAGTGCCCCCTACAGTACGGAGACTCTTACGATTCCCTGCGGGACTCACCTCACAGTGACAGGTGAGTGAAAAAGGAACGTACTCGGTTACTTACTGCGTCGCTAGACGCTTATGGGGAAAAACTCCTTTTTCTCCGAGGACTGAAGACTTATTCAATCACGCAGTGGAACTGCACGGCCATTGGTTCGTGCAGTGATTATAAAACTAACCAATGGCAGTGAAGTCCGCGCGAGCCCGCCAGAATGGGCGGGGCCATCTGGCTATATAAGCGGGCATTTCGCCATAAGATCTCAGGTCAATTCGACTGAAGCGACGACACCGAGTCGTGCAGCGTCATGGCACGGCAAGGAACGCAGTACTCATTCCCGTATCTCAGGGAACCGAGGTTACGAAAGTAACCGAGTACGTTCCCTATCAATACTTCACTCGTACTGCGGCGCTAGACGCTTATGGGGAACAATACAATCCCGCCGTGCCATGAGAGAGGAACGACTGATATGAACTGGCCTTGAGCGAAAAAGGCTCAGAGGGACCAATTATGCGCAGGGTGAGCCCTGCAGGAGGCAAGAGGGCTGAACTCATTGAGGTCAGCCTTCAGATAATAGTTCCAATGGCCGTATGTACAACCTCAGCACTAGTAATAGGGCCAAGAGCGTTCCTGAAGAGTCAGGCAGAGCCTGAGACGTAGACTGCCTAGACAGGCGTGTGCCACTTTAAGCAGATAAAATATCCAAGTTATAGAACCTGGCAAAGGTGGACGGCGAGACCCAGATGGCCGCTGCACAGATGTCTGCTATGGACACACCACTAGACCATGCCCAGGAAGAGGCCACGCCTCGAGTGGAATGGGTTCTCACTCCTATGGGACTCTGAAGGCCCAGTGAGGAGTAAGCTAGTGTGATAGCGTCAACTAACCATTGAGAGATCCTCTGCTTTGTGACCGGGGACTTTTTGGTGCGGCCGCCAAAGCATACGAAGAGTTGTTCTGACTGCCTGAAGGGGGCGGAACGCTCGATGTAAATTCTCAATGCCCTAACTGGGCAGAGAAGGTTAAACTCCTGGTCCTCCTCAGAAGGAGGAAGCGCAGAGAAAGTAATAACCTGGGCTCTAAACGACGTGTAGAGCACTTTAGGGACATACCCATGTCTTGGCTTTAGGACGACTTTAGAGTCGTTAGGCCCAAACTCAAGACAGACAGGGCTTATCGAGAGAGCCTGCAAGTCACCTACTCGCTTAACCGATGCTAGCGCCAGCAGCAGAGCGGTCTTCAGCGACAGTGTTTTTAAGCTCGCAGACTGGAGTGGCTCAAAGGGGGAGCCTTTGAGGGCTCTCAGGACCATGGGTAGATCCCATGTAGGGACCGTGAGGGGCCGGGGCGGATGGAGCCTCCTGGATCCCTTCAGGAAATGGACAACAAGGTTGTTCCGGCCCACCGACTGTCCGGCTATAGGAGCGTGAGAAGCTGCTATAGCTGCCACATAGACTTTGAGCGTGGAAGGGGAGCGGCCCTTGTCCAACAGCTCTTGTAAGTAGGACAATATCACCAATATGTCACATGTTATTGGGTCCTCGCTGTGGGTTTCGCACCAGGCGGAGAAAATCGACCATTTAAGGGCATAGAGGCATCTCGTAGATGGGGCTCTAGCCTGTGAGATAGTATTCAGGACACTCTCTGGGAGATCTACTGATTCCCGTTGAGAGCCCATAGGTGCAGCGCCCACAGCTCGGGCTGGGGGTGCCAGATTGTTCTGTTCGCCTGAGAGAGGAGGTCCTGCCTCAGGGGAATGGGCCACGGAGCTGCCGTCAGCAGCTGAGACAGCTCTGAGATCCAGAGATGGTTCTTCCAGAGCGGGGCCACCAGAAGCACACTGTGCCTGTGCTCCCTGACTCGCCTGATTACCTGGGGGATCAGGACGATCGCAGGGATTAAAGTTCTCCGTCGCTACGACGGATTTCCGTTAATTGCAGCAAGTCTACGACGGATTTCCGTCAACTGGAAAAAATGAGGGGAAAATAAACATGTAGCGCGTTGTTGTTGTTGTTCTGCCGGCACACCAAAAATCATCCTGCAGCTTCTCAGTGACAACATAGTGATGCCGCTCGCATCATTCACAGTCGGGTTATTAGCAGAGAACACAGAGCAGAACTTGAATTTCGGCGCGGGATTGCGGCTATTAATAACAACTGTACTCATTCCAAAGACTATAGAATACCCTTAAAGGGACTTTGTCTTATTCCTGCAGATTTTGCGCTTATAATGAGATGACAGATGACGGAACGTATCATTTGCACATGCTTTTGAGTCTTGAGAACTCACTCGCGCGCTCTCATTTTCTGTGCGCCCACAGATCGCGATAAGGAGAGTGACAACTTTTAATAGTTATTAAGGGAGTTTGCAAATGTGATATTCATTTAATACAACAGTTCAATAAACAAGTACTGCCTGATTTTGCTCTATTTCTTCAACGAAAATAGTTCCAAATATAGTAACAGCTCAGCCGCTGCATTTAAAACATTAATCTCCACATGAATGTATGAATTTGATTGCACTCATGCCACCTCTGAGCCTCATTAAACGTCTGAAAATGTACCGACAAGCCACTTTTGTGTTCTTCTGTGCCACCTCTGTACAAATTTATTTTTTATTAATACAAATTTCATATGATTGGTAACTTATTTGTCTTATTCTACTTCTTATTATATTGTTTTAAATAGAAATTTTAAAAAGCTTGGAAGGCTAATTTTTTATAAGAATTTTTTATTATTGATCAGAGGGTGCTCCTACATTTTTTAAATTAGGAGGACAGTGAGAGTTGTTTGGCAGTGAGAGTTGTCTTTTGAGGCGAAGAGGTCACCTCTGCCTTGCCAAAGATCTCCCAGATTTTCTGAACCGTCTGTGGGTGGAGCATCCACTCCTCTGGGGAGACGTTGCTCTGAGATAGCATGTCTGCTCCTTGGTTCAGTACACCGGGCACATGAGCTGCCCTCAATGAACGCAGGTTGAGATGTGCCCATTCCCAGAGGCGTTTTACAATCTCGAAAAGGCGTTTAGAGGTGAGCCCACCTTGGCGATTTATATATGACACCACCGTCATGCTGTCTGATTGGACTAGCACGTGGTGTCCCTTCAGGACTGGCAAGAAGGCCTGAAGAGCTCGACATACTGCCGTCAGTTCGAGGCAATTGATGTGTAGCTGGCCTTCCGCGATCGTCCAAGAGCCGAAGGTCGGCCTGCCGTCGCACAGAGCTCCCCAACCTGTGTTGGATGCGTCTATCGAGACAACTTTCCTTCTGTAAACCAACCCCATAGTCACGCCCTGCTTGAACCACTGTAGGTCCTTCCAGGGAGCCAGGGCCGTCACGCAGGCTTGGTCCACCTTGATGCGGATGCGTCCATGATGCCACGCATGGGGCGGAATTAGAGGTTTCAACCAATACTGAAGGGGTCTCATTCTGAGCAGGCCCACTGAAGTACCGGTGCTGCAGAGGCCATGAGGCCCAGCATCTTTTGAAACCTTTTGAGAGGGTAGGAGGCTCCAATTCTGAAGGAAGCCGCGAGCTGCTGTATGACCAGTGCATGGTCTGGCGTGACTATCGCCCTCATGTGGACTGAGTCGAAAACTGCCCCCAGGAACGAAGTTCGCTGGCTGGGGGACAGAGAGCTCTTGGCAAAATTGATCCTGAGTCCCAGGCGCTCTAAGTGGCTGAGGTGGAGGGACCTGTGGGCTATTAGCTCGGCCTCCAGTCGTCGAGGTAATTCAGGATACGGATTCCCATCTGTCTCAGAGGGGAGAGGTCCATGCACTTCGTAAAAGTGCGGGGAGCCAGAGACAGCCCGAAGGGCAGGACCGTGTATTGCTAAGCCACTCCCTTGAAGGCGAATCTCAAGAATCGTCTGTGATGGGGGGCTATCTGGATGTGAAAGTAAGCATCTTTCAGATCCAGCGAAAAGAACCAGTCCCCTGGCCGGATTTGCGAGAGTATCTGCTTCAGTGTAGTAATTCTGAACGGCCATTTCATGAGGGCACGGTTCAGCTGTCTGAGATCGAGGATGGCCATCCTTTTTGGGGACGAGGAAGTAACGGCTGTAGAAGCCTGACTCGCTCTGAGCTGGTGGAACTGTTTCTACGGCTCCTTTTGCCAGCAAATTCTTTACCTCAGCTCGCAGAACGTGAGCGTTCCTGCTGTGCACTGAGGTGGAGACCACGCCGTTTAACCGCGGGGCACTTCGAGCATATTGAAGTGAATAACCTCGTTCTATAATCCCCAGAACCCAATGAGACACTCTGGGGATGGCCCACCAGGCCTCGGCCCGTGTGAAAAGGGGATTCATTTGGGTGGTGAGTCACCGTGCGGGGACTCGACACTCATGATAACTGGAAGAGGAAATTTGCTCTCTTTTTGAAAATTTTTGTTTTTTATTTTTCTCACTATCACTGCGGATATGTGTGAGGGTGCTTTTAGAACGGGCCCGTGATTCACAACAATTTCTGGAACAAACATACTGCCACTGGCACCCAGAACTGAACGGAGTGCTTGAGGGCACGACAGAGGGCGTTTCGGGGGTGGTCTGGTGCTTGCGAGACTTTGCCCCTTCCTCTTCCTTTCCAGCGGATCAGGACGCCGCCGGGGGCGCAGGGTCCAAGTTCAGCTTGGGCCGGGGTCCTTGGCGCTTTGGAAAGGGATAGCGTCTGGCCGAGCGGAAGTGCTGTCGGGGCTCAGGATTTTGAGCAGGCTGAGCGGGCGATGGCGCAGCTTTAGCTGGTTGCTGTGCTGGAGCAGGCTTGGGGCGACTGGTGGCCATTGCAGAGCTGGAATGTTTCGGCAAGAAGTGTCGCATGTAGGGATGTAACGATTCACTCAACTCACGATTCGATTCGATTCACGGTTTTGATTTCACGATTCGATTCGCGTAAGCTCGTCATGGACCTCCGGGAAAAACTGAGAGGCTCGCTGACGAGGGGCCTGGTGGTGCCCCGGCAGGAACCATTCGTCCAGACGGCTACGAGTGGGCTCCTCCGGCGTAGACCACTCCAATCCCAGTTCCTCAACTGCCTTAGAGAGGATGCGGAAAAGTTCGGCATACATCCCTGGCTTAGAGTCACTGGGCTCGGCAGACGATGAAGGGGCGGAGTCAGCAATAGAGCCCGACATCTCCTCCGCGTCTGATGCCATTAGAGACATGCTGTCATCTAATAGCTCGTTCTCTACGGGACCGAACGAGACCATGTCGCTCGCCTCAGCCGAGGGACGCTGGTCTGCGTGTTCAAAGAGAACGGGAGAATACTGTTCACACAATGTGAACAATCCATCTTTTTTTTGTTCCCAATAAATATTGCTCTTATTGCACTAATATATATTTATATAAATTATACCATGCAGTAGACATATGCTACCATTTAAAAGTTTGAGGTCAGTAAGATTTTTATTAAAGAAAGTAATACTTTTATTCAGCAAGGATGCATTCAGTTGATCAAAAATGACAGTAAAGACATTTGTAATGTTATAAAAGATTTATATTTCAAATAAATTTTGTTATTTTGAACATTATATTCATCAAAGAATCCTGAAAAGAAAAGCACTAAGCAGCACAAAGTTTTTTTCAACATTGATAATAAGAAATACAAAAGATTTCTGTTTCAAATAAATGCTATTTTTTAACTTTTTATTGACCAAAATATCAGGGAAAAAAAATGTTTTTTCACAAAAAATATTAATCAACACAGTTGTTTTCAGCATTAATAATCAGAAATGTTTCTTGAGCAGTAAATCAGCATAGAATGATTTCTGAAGCATCATGTGACTGAAGACTGGAGCGATGATACTGAAAAATCAGCACAGGAATAAAATACATTTTTAAGTATATTCAAACAGAAAACTTATTTTAAATTGTAATAATATTTCACAATATTACTGATTTTACTGGAATCATTTTGATCAGAGAAATACAGCTTTGGTGTGCATAAGAGACTTCTTACTGACCCCAAATGTTATAACGGTAGTGTGTATTTCAAATCTTTTTCTGTCCCACCTCTCACCCCATGTTTTTCTGCATCTTTGCAGGTACGTGTCTGCTCTGACCACGCCGGCGCATCTATCTCCGGTGGACTTTCACTCCTCACTGCCCCCGCAGGTGCCTACCTTTCAGATCACCACGCCCAACGCCAACCATGCCCTCTCGCTGCCGCCCGCCGCCTCTGCCATCGCCATGGCGGCCTACTCGCCCGACGATGACCAACCCCTCCTGCACCGCTACCGCCGATCCCGACGCCCATATTATGCGGCGGAGAGCACGGGCTCCCTCCCGTCCAGCCCGTACCGCTTTGTGGATGATGAGGATTATGAGACCACGCAGGAGTACATGTCCTCCCGAGAGCAGCCGAAGAAGAGCAGCAGTGGCCGCCGTTGGCGCAGAAGGTCACGGGTCAACGGCCACGTGTCGCAGCGTACGCCGGGCCCCAGGAACTACAGCTCTCAAAGCTGCCTGTCAGATAGTGAGTGGGAGGACGATGTGGTTGGCGACCTCGGCCACGGCGAGAGCACGCCGTTTCTCAGTATGCAGAACATGAATGCCACAGAACCGGCCACCATCTACCGACCCAACGACACGCGGACTTTCAGCAACACGGGACGCTCGGGCTCCCGTGGCAACGTGCAGGCCAACAAACTGTCACAGTCGCGGTCCAGACCGGACAATGCACCCCTTTAAAAAAGAACAGTAAGAGCAAGGACGAACAAACTTGCATAGGCGCGAAAAACAAATGATATGCTATAGACCTGCACCTATGAGAAATATTTTTTATTTTGTATAACAGACAGATATTCTAAACAAAGGAAATATTTATTTTCATTTCAGCAAAAATTGTCTACTAGCTAGCAGCAAAGACTTTTTTTATAGGGGGAAAACTATTTATATGTAATTCCTTTTTTTTATTATTTACAGCATTACGAAGAAGAATTACGTGCCAATTTTTTCACAAGCTAGAAATAGAATAATATTGTGGTGCCTTTTGCTGTTTGCCGACGAGGGAGATTCAGTTGAATTTTTGTAGCCTTTCTTAAAAACAGACTCTTGGGTTTTATAGACATGTTTTCCTGTTTTTTCTTTGTTCGTTAGTTTAATTTCTTCAGGATCTCCCCATTTGAACTGTGATATTATTCAGACACCATGCAATATCGAATCACTTCTGTGTAAGGTGTTTGTTTACATGAGTAGGATTCACGCGCACACATAACTGACGTTAAATCACATCGGATGCCGATTCGTTCGAGCATCCGAGCGCCGTTTGTGTTCGACTTTAGTTTCTACGTTTTCTTTTCTGTCAACTGGTTGTTGCATATTGTTTCCATGGAAACAGAGGTACGCAGGAGTTCACAGGGCATGACGCTGGGTCGCAGTATCGGCCCTGGTGTTCAGGGTTTTCAAAATGGTGGTCTGTGCGTCCAATGAATGTGTTTACACTTCTGTCCGTGTGCGTGAGAGTATCGTTGAACCTCAGTGTATACGTACGTGTCTTTGTGTACGCAGTTTCGTGCGAGAACGCGTTTCATTCGTGCGTTCGCGTTGTGTTTGTCTTCAGGTTAACGTTTCGAGCACGTGTGTGTGTTGTGAGTTTCGACGTGCGCCTGTGTGTGTATACGTATGCTTGTACTCTTTTTAGGATGTTGGCTTTGTCGAAAGGGAGCTCTATTACGTCACCAGGTTATCGCTAAATGGTTAAACCGGACCCCCTAGTGGTGACACGAGCTCATTGCACTGTAACCTTCCTTCGTTCCTTGTGTAGTCATTGGCCTGCGGAGGAACCAATCCAGCCTGATTCTAGCCTACACGGACCTACATCTCTCTCCCACACCTTCCCATTCCTATGCCAGCAGCTTTAAGCCGCACTGTGTCTCAGGACTTTTCATTGAAATCTGCATTGCCCATAAAACAGATTCATTACTGCCCGTCGTGTCTGCATCATGCTGGGAAGACGATGAAGAACGATACGACCAGATGTGTTTGTCTGCGAAACGCTCCATGTTTTGTTGGTTTTCCTTCATTTTGTTTTAGTGGGGTCGTTCCCAGTCAGCACTCTCTCTTTTTGACACATCTGTATACAAGTTGGAGACTTGCTTGAAGCAATGCGTGTTCGGCTACTAGACGTGCTACTTTAGGTGGATTATGAAGTGTTAAACCCTACTTCCAGAGTCCAGCAACCTACAACTACATTTGAAAAGATAAACCCACCACCCGCACACTAACACCTTGACACACATGCAAATGCACACACTTACACAAACACAGACACTGACACACATGCTCAAGATTCATTCTGTGCACACAGTCGTTTAAAGCACCACTCGTCTCACCGATTGATTTTCTTCCTGTCTTTCTCTCTGTTTCTTCTGTTCTTCCTCTCTGCCTGTAAAGGCGTCCCTTCCCTCTGCATGTTCTAGTGGTTCAGATAGATGGGTGCATGGTAACCGCAGCAACTGAGTCGTATTCACACGGTGAAAGTGTAGTTTTCATTTGACATTCAGCAATAAGTCCCCTTTTTTCATGTTCATTCTTGACTTGGAATATGCTAGAAATTTTTGCAAGTTTTCTCAAAAAATAATACTTGTAAAAAAATAAAATAAAATCAAACTACTTGTTCATATGGAAAAAATAAATCTTAATTCCTACCATTTTAAAAAATGAATTCATCAGAATGTATGTCTGTTTCTTGGCATGATATATATGTCTTTATAATAAGAAAATGTTTTCAGGGGAACGGCAGTTTATTCTTTCTTTGACATAACTTTGACAGAGTTTTATCAAGGATGCAACCAAATTTTCAATTTTAGTGGGGACTGGAGGAAAAAACTTGACAACTAGCCACTGAAAAACGTATATTGATCAACAACTAATTTTAATATGAGACAGTATACATCTTCCTCTGTCTCTATGGTGGTTACAGGTCTGGATAATATCATGAGAAATCAACTCATGATATTATCCAGCTTGAAAAGTACTGTGAAGTCTTCAATCCGAAAAGAGCGTTTATTGAAACTAATTTGCAAAAAATGTTTGACATCAGATGAATGCATTGAACACATGCAAAGAGTACACTTACATAACGTTATGGGTAACACTTTACAATAAGGTCACATTAGGTAACATTAGTGCATTCACTAAAAATTAACTATCAATGAGCAATACATTTGTTACAGTATTTATTAATATATTTAACATTCATTAACTTTATTGTTAATGTTACCTCACTTCCATTATATAACGTTAACCGATACAACTTTTGATTTAAAAAATGTATTAGTAAATGTTGAAATTAACATTAACTAAGATTAATAAATGCTTTAGAAGTATTGTTAGTTCATGTTAAATAATGCAGTTAACTAGTGGTAACTAATATGACCTTATGAAGTTAATATTTGCAACCATTTTAATTCTTTCAGCTGAACATTATTTCTTACTTGGATTTAGTTAGCAGACACAAGTAGTGGCTTTGGGAGTTATTTTAAAAAATGTAGTGTAAATTTTTACTTTTAAAACATGAAATATTTTTCAAGTATAGTAGGTATAATCTTTTTCTTAAACTAATAGCACAATTTTTTATGTAGTAAAACAAAGATTATTTAAGTACGTTTTACAAGAAAACACTACTTTCTACTTCACAATTTAACATTTAATTCAATGTTACTTGCTGTTTCTTTGTAACTGTTAAATTTTCTTGCAATTTCTGAATGAAAATTTTTTTTTAATGTACTTTCAGTGCAACTTTCAGTAGTAAGATTACGGCTTAGATGTTAAAAACCATATAATGAAGCAAGAGAGAAACACAAAGTTCTGTTACTAACCCTAACTTAACCAGCTCGACTTGTCTGACCAAGACTCTGTCAAGGATTAGTTCTTCTAGTGATCTTATCTAGTTCTTCTAATCTTTAAAAATGCTTGGAATGGAACACATTTATCAACAAGCAACCTGAAGACAATGAGTTTGTGGGCGAGCTGCCAGGGGAGAAGATGAGAGCCTTTTAAACAGAATTTCTGGTGAGCTCATGTTAATATCATCACCACACTGATGAAATACTTGATTATATTCTAGATTCTAATCAACAGTGATGCTGATATTGCTTTGTAATGCTCCCTGAGGGGAGTAACTTGTTATCTGTGGGGCTTTCAAATGAAAATGCAGCACAGTGACAACTCACCATACTTGTCAAACAAGACTGAATGAAATTACAAAATACAAAAGTGGATGTGTGTATATGTATACTGATAATAAATAGGGGACAACAGGGCTTAGTGTCACAAGTGGAGGTTGTTATTTACCTCAAAAAGATTCTTAGGTCAAAAGATAGATTTTTATTTAATTTTAATATTTATTTAATTTATTAAATTACCTTGTTTCCACCTGTTTTTATTATTACCTTTATTTAACCATGAAAATGACTCACTGAGATTAAATAATCTATACAGAATATCTATACAATATTCATTAGAGTAAAAAGTGTGACAACTAGCCCCGATCTCCTCTGTATTAGTCTTTAATCGCAAATGAGTATCGTGGGCGTGGCCTCAAGCGCGCACAGCACACCTGAGTTTCCATTCACAACCGAAGTCATGTGAGCGCTCCACAGTGTACGAGCAACAGGTGAATGCGAGTTTACTTTAAAACAGATTTATATATATTTTTTTATTTTGTAACGAGACGTTTCCTCATATTCCATGTAACATTTTTGTCTTTTAGTTTACGCATAGGCCTACATTATGGGAATTATGATGTGAATGACGCCAAATTCATCACAAACTACATCACCAGGAAAACGTGGTAAGTTTAAAGCGATTTTAGTAGTTTAGTAATAGCAGTTTTCTTTTCATTTCGTTGTTGGAACAATAAAATAATCACAAAGAGAGAACAATTATCATATAAACACTTATTAGTACTCAACTTTTTCGAGTAGCACAACTTAACTGTAGTCTCATTACGAGTTGTTTCGTTAAAGTTTTTAATGAAAAGTTTTTTGTTTGTTTTATTTTAAATTTAATTATTTTTAAAACTTAAATAATAATAATAAAGTTTATTATAAAAGTATTTAAGTAGTATATAGGTTACTGCATTTTATGGTAAATAATTTTACATCAAATCTTATGTAAATAATATTCCCTTACAAAAACCTAGCATTCCATTTTAGTGGATACTAGGGTTACAATGGGGAATTTTTGAAGATTTTTGTTGATGTCTGAATAGTCTGCAATGCCTGGGTTGACATAATCTAAGTGACTAAGAAAAAACATGTTTAAGAAAAATATTGATCTGTTTAACATTCTTAATATTTCTTTCCTCAGTTTATGGCTTCATGTCTGTGTCGATACCGCCGGCGGATCCTGTTCTTCTGTTCGCCGTGCATATTGCTACTCCCAGTCTACATATATGTCTCAATTGCTTTGTGCTATGTCATGAAACATGGGGCACCTGGTGCACATGTTGTTAATTCTGTGCTGCCGACACACTTTACTGCCAGCGGTCTCAAACACTCCAGAGATCTGGCTCCTCATCCTGCAAAATCCTTCTGGAGAAGCGAACTAGATGGTAGCGCTCTGTGGAACATCATCCAGTTCATGACGGATCGCCAGTATAACCCCATCCTAAGGCCTCATCTGGCTGCAAACGCAGCCGGTGTTTCTTACAACACAGAAACGTCCAGAAGGACTGGGGTTGGATGTTCTCCAAATTATGAGATTAACAATATAATGCCAGATTACGCCAATCTACCAATCCAGATGAAGAATTTTGTGACCGCCATGCACTGTCGAGATTATCCGCTGCTCATAGATCCTTTAGATGTTTGTGATCCTCAAGCAAAGAAATGGGCACCAGTATTGCTCATGGCCATCAAAACTCAGTCTGTGAACTTTGATAACAGGGAAGCCATACGAGAAACTTGGGGGCGTTCAGGAAGAATAAAAACCCGAGGTCGACAGCAAAGGCTCGTTCGCAGAGTCTTTCTTCTGGGGAAGTCCAAAGACTTGCATATTGAAGAGAAGTTGCATTTAGAGAGTGAAAAATATGGTGATATCATCCAGTGGGACTTTATGGACACCTTCTTCAACCTCACCCTGAAGGATGTGCTGTTCTGGGACTGGTTCTCGAGGCGTTGCCCACATGCCCATTTCATTTTTAAGGGTGATGATGATGTATTTGTGAGGACACCTGCTGTCCTAGACTATCTGCTGGCTGAAGCGGCAAACAGAAGCTTCTCAGATGGATCCAGGCAGGCAAATAAAATGGAGACGTTTGTTGTGGGGGACGTGATAAGCAATGCCACACCTATACGCTCTAATGGGACTAAGTACTACATCCCGGAGAGTTTCTATAAAGGGTGGTACCCATCATACCCTGGTGGAGGAGGGGTGATTTACTCTGGTTCTCTTGCACATAGGCTTTTGGAGGTATCACAGAGGGTTCATCTGTTCCCCATTGATGACGTCTACCTGGGTATGTGTCTTCAGAGACTGGGAGTTTACCCTATCCACCACCCTGCCTTCCTCACCTTTGACTTCCCCAAAGATGAGCCCAAGGAACCCTGTGCGAATCACACCATCCTGCTGGTGCACAAGCGAAGCCCTGCTGAGATGTTCCAACTTTGGACTGAAACGTCGACACCCAGCCCTGAATGCAGAAATACAATGCTGAGAGTCAAGCCTAGACCTGACTGAGATCAGCAGACTGAACTTTTTTTTTTTTTTGTTAAAACAAGTTCTCATTCTTACTGAACACTTGAAAACTGATGTTATACATTGTGAGGTATTTTGTATAAATTTTAGTTTGGAATATTTTTGACTTTCACATTTTGCTTCAACTGCCTAAAGGTTTTATAAACAGGCTTTCTGCAGGTTTTATGATGGTAAATTTAAGACCTTTTTAAGACCATGTAAAGAAAATGTAAGGAATTAATTGAAGGGAACACAATGTCAATATGTTTTCAAAATCCAAATGTTTAGGGAGCACACAGTGAGTTGTATTAACAACACTTGAACGTTTAAAAATACAGCTTTCAACAGATCTATACCTCTGCTCCCAACAACTAGAGTATTTAAATAGTCAGAACTTTTATGGTACCTGCAAAAAAGCGATGTTCTTCCTCAGTTTTATGTCTTGTTTTGAAGTACAAATGTCTAAAAATCTAAATCTTGTCTAAAATCTTGTTTTAAGCATTATCACGCTTAATTTTGTTAGATCTGTCAGAAAAAAAATGACTTCATTTTGCATCGAAAGTAGAATAATCTTGATTCAAGTATGTTTAGATATTTGCATTGGTTTAAAAAAATGTGTACAAAAAGTTTATTACAACACCGTATTTACAAGAATTATAATATACAATGTTTCTTTTAATAAAACAAAATGAGTTCGAGACTTGAAACAAATGAAACAGGCAGAAACTTCTGAAAGCCATCACAGAGATATCATTCAATGCAATAATAGCTCAGTCTCAGGCACCAGTATAGTTTTCCAGGTTTTTAAGTCCAATTAAAGTTCATAGAAAACTGTTCTTGGTCATACTGTGGTGGAAGCATCTTCCAGTATCATGCGGTTTTTAATGCTCTTCTTTCATCATCATCTTCCTCCTCCTCTTCATCATCACCACCATCATCATCATTGTTGCCCTCCTCATCTTCATCAGTCTCTTCCTCACTCTCACTGTAGAGAACAGTGGCACGATTGGTGTTTACAAAAAGATCGCTGTCATCATCCTCAGAGTCGCTGTCACCCTCCTCTTCCTCCTCTGTTTTTCTTTCACTTCTTTCTTTCGGGGCTTCCTCATTCCTCTCACTGGATGTGCGATCCTCCTGGAATCCTTCTGGCCTGTGTGAAGTGTGAAAATGCGGTTTACTAAACACATTTCAGCTTTGTTTTCCTGAACACAGGAATTTTAATTAAATAAGACCTTCAAAAATGCTTAATTTCTCCTATTCTATCTATGCATGCTTATATTATCAGTTGCATTTCATTTGTAGTTGTATATTACTTGCATTTAACATTGTGTTCTCCCCCTTTTCTCACCTGGCTACAACATATTTTATGCTGACAACCTTTTATTGCTGAGTAATACGCATCACTTCAGTACTAGGTTTAAAGAGATAGTTGACCCAAAAATGAAAATGTTGTCATTTAGTTGTTCCAAATGATATTTAAAAACATTTTTTTTATGTTTTGAAGAATGTTGGTAACCAAAACGTTTCTGGTCCCCATTGACTTCCACAGTATTTTTTCCATACTATGGAAGTCTATGGGGACCATCAACTGTTTGGCTACCAATACTTTTCAAAATATCTTCTGTGTTCAAAAGAAGAAAGAAATTCATACAGGTTTGGAACAACTTGAGGGTGTCAGATATTCAATTCAAATTTAAAAAAAGACATAATGGCCTTACCAGACACCAAGTTTTCTCAGGTACTGAATATGGTCCCTGTAAAGTATAAAGTTTATTTCTCCTTTCACCTTCCCTCCTTCTTTAATGGGATCAACAATGACAAAGTCTCCTAACAAACAGAAAGACCATGAAAACCTTTTAGTGTCTTTAAGAACAGACTCGTTATATATCCATGAAAGGTAAAACAAACTGACCTCGTTTGATCCAGATGTTCTTGCGGAATTTAGTAGGCATACTGACAAGAAAGCGCTCGCCGCTGCCAGTCACAGCTTCATGCAAGTTATTGCCATTACTTCCCAAGACCTGTGATGTGAAGGAGGTATATAATTATTAGTAGCATGGTATAATGTGAATACCGAGTTCTCAAAGCCTTACAGATCCCAAAATCTGGTAAACGTACCCTCATGATATGCTGGTCTTCAGTGGGTGTGACACAGTCCTCCAGAACTTCTTTGACTACGTGCTTGCGTTTGGTTGCCTTTGACATGGTAGATATAAAACGATTCGGTCACCTGAATAAAGACAAATATTTTGTTTGAGAAATATTGTTAAGAGGTGAGAATGTGGACTACAAAGAATAAAGCGGTTCTCAGGGCAACACAGTTACGCTTTGAAATGCATCAACACACACATACAAACCCCATCGTGGCACCTTGCTAAAACACACATAACAACTAAACCCGTGGCCTGTATATCATGATCATTATAAATGCTATAAGGTAGTATATTCAAAAAGTCATTTGACATAGGCTATGATTACGTAAATGTACTGTTTACAATTTTAAAGCATGGCATAGACACGTGGCCTTCATGCTGTGTTGGTCTGGACAAATAAAAACCTTCGATGTCTACATTTATTTAAATTGTAAAAGCGCAAATTTTTCATAGTCACCTAGAAACCGTATATGAAACTGGATGTACTCCGAGTTGATTTACTAATGGCATCGACATGAATTGCCTTATTGCTGGCGTTTACTCGAGTCTTCTTCACAGAAGTGTGAAGCGAAACGCGAGACATGCAGCTGATTTTGAAGATTGCAAAATAAGAGCCACACGAACTCAGTTGAGGGTGAGCGCAATTTGTGTATAACTTAACGGCCTGTAAATGTATAAATGAGTTGTTAAAACCATTTATTTAATAATAATAATAATAATAATAATAATAATAATAGGATATATTTCACAGAGTCCTAGGAAACTTTTATTTTGAAATTTAATTTTCACGGTTCACATTAATAAACATCCACAGCGAGCCAGGCTGATAAAACGCTTTGAAATATGTGATGAGAGAACCAGATAGACATTCAAATAATACGATAATCAGGGCGCAAATTTTCATTTGGATGCAGTGAACAGTCATCTTAAAGATGTGGAGATTGAAACCCCTCCGTCACAAAGCGAGTGGATCTGCCAATAATTTGGAGGAGTTCAAACACAAGAGAAGAGAGTTTGAGAAAGGTGTGTGTTTTACTCTTGTCTATATTATTTTACCCCTTTCATCTCTCAATCTATTTTGCTGATTCTGTATACGTTTGTAATGTATTAATGTAGGCAAAATAATAGATATTATTTAGGTATTCATCTACTCATAGCTCTTAGACAGGCACGGCGAGACAAACAGCTCATCAGTAAGAGACTCCTGCAGAGTGTGGATGTGGAAGAGAAGGAGAAGGGAGACTCCATAGAGACTGGCTCCACCCCTCTGTCACCTGAACAGGTCAGACTGAATGTTTAGGGGCCAGTTGCATAAATTTAAGCCTGTATTTTAAATGGGTCATATGATGTTGCTAAAAATAACAATATTTTGTGTATTTGGTGTAATGAAATGTGTTTATGTGGTTTCGGCCGGCTTGTGTGAGCGGCGGCCGGTGGGCTTGAGAACGGCGTGGCCGGAGGGCTTGTGGCAACCACATGTGACAACCCCGGGCTGGACTCTGCTTCGTCCACGGTGAAAGCCGATCCGGCGATCCACATAGACATGTGGGGGCGTGTTAGAACGAGCCGTTTTAGGTAGGCGTGGTTGACTCTTAACTTTTATAAAGAATATCTCTTTGGATTTGAGACTTTAGTCTTTGCAACTTTACAGATCTTCTTTATGCACCAAGAGCTTGTAACACTCCAAAGAGAAAGGAAAAATTGAAATTGCATCATATGACCCCTTTAAGACTGTCTTAAGAGTGTGACCAACTAGCAGTTAGCAAAGGGGTAATCAGTCTTATTTTTGGATTCAACTTAGATTAATTTATGATTTAATGTAACTGAATAAAAAAAAAATTATGGCCAGTCTTAAAGAAAATTGGATGACTAACGTGTAAGACTAGTCTACACCTTTTATGCAGCCAGCCCCAGGTTTATTTCTGTACTGTGTACTGGATGTATGGGGAAAGTAAGGATCTCATTCTCAGCAAACTATAAATATTGCTCATATGTCGTATGAAGCATGTGTGTTCACTGTGTGTTGTATGTATAACATCAGGTCAGAGAGATGATACGTGGAGTCCAGTCTGGGGGAGAGGAGAAAGCAGCTCATCTTGCATCTCTACGAAAAGCACTAAGAAACCCAGAGAGCCAACTCACTTTCATTAAGTAGGACTTCAATGCTAACACAGAGTTCATTTTATATTATTTGCTGCGCTGCATCATCTTGTTTATACATCTTTTTTCTTCTCATTTGTTTTAAATTAATACATTTTGAATTAAATGTTTTTAATTATTTACTTTTTATTGTTATTTTTATTTCTTAATCATCTTTTATGATTATTTTATGATTTTTTACAATCGTTTTTATGTAAAGCACTTTGAATTTCCATTGGGTATGAAATGTGCTATGTAAATAAACTTGCATTGTGTTATTTTAGGAGGTCTACAAATTATATTTTTACTGTGTAGGGGTAAATTTCACAAATAAAGTAATATTTCATCCCTAAATTAAACAGGAAAAATGTGTATGTTGCAAGCTTCATGTAGGAACAGTAATTTTTTATACAAATTTTTTGCATTGTGCTTAATTGTCATGAATATAATATCACATTTGCACATTTTTCATTGAGATTGAATATAACAACTATATTTTATAATCCTTATTAATGATCTTATATAGTAAAGATAATATAATATACTTATATATAATATATTATTATTTAATATTATTTAATATTTATATATTATTTTAAATTCTAATAATATTTATATTTATGTATTTTAATCAAATAAATGCAGAGCATAAGACTTTTCAAAAACATTAAAAAAACTTTATTAGATATATAGATAAGATACTGTAGTTACTGATGCAGTGCCCGTGTTTTTCTTCAGATCAGAGACCAGCATGCACATGTTGATCGGACAGCTCAGCTCTCATAATGCTCAGTGCCAGCTGGAAGCGGCACGCTGTCTGCATGAGCTGTCTCACTCTACTCACCCCAGTGTGGGTCAGGCCTGTCTGCCTGCCGGCCCGTACCTCCTCACTTACCTTTCCAGTCAGAGCACCAAGCTAACGGTCAGTGGGTTGCCACTTTGAAGAGGCATGTCAGAGGCATGCAATCGATCAGTCCTCATGAATTTGTCTCTTTTGTCTTTTCCTTTAGGAACTTTGTTTATACACTCTGGGAAATCTGTGTCCTGACAGCGCTGTGGTGAGAGAGAAGCTTCTAGCTCAGGGAATAGTTTCTGCACTGGCAAACTGCATTCACGTAAGCTCATTTAGGTTACTAATAGTAAACGATTACTTTTGTTAACTCTTATAATTGACTATAAATCACTAATCATATACACTGATAATGGTATGTATAGCATCTCTGAATGCATTCTTACAGGCTGAGTCTCACAAAAAAAATCTGGGTTATATTTCATCCCAAATTAAAAGAAAGAGACAAGAAATAAAATTTTGCATGAAGAAAATTTATTTTTGGACAACTGATAATTATGTGCACATTCACCCCTTAAGTTATACTTGTTCTCGTTATTATCAGTGTTGATTCTCATTACTGTAAGAATAATATTTTTGTTTTTTATTTTTTATCTTTAATATTACTGTAAACAGATGATTAATTGTCATGTAATGCAGAAAATAATAATGAAATAATTTTTTTTTCTTTTAGGAAAATTTTATTTCTTTTTAATTTGAGGTTAAATGTGACTTGGACATGTTCTTGAGATCATGAAATAGTAAGATTGTTTTTCTAGAATCAGAGGTATAATCTGGTGGTGGTGGAGGCGGTTGGCTTCACTTTGTCTCAGCTGTTACAGGCGAAAGACACAAATGAAAAAATCATCCCGTAAGTGACCACAGCTTGTTTCGTTAATGTTAATGTTCATTTGTAGTATGTGCGACAAATGGACTAAGGTCTTGGCGCACTGAAATTGCTATAGCTTACTATAAATAGTTAATGCTAATGACAAATATTTAGGGATGTAACGATTCACTCAACTCACAATACGATACGATTCATGATACTGATTTCATGATACAATTTTCTCACAATTTATATATATATATATATATATATATATATACACAGCAAAAACTAGTAGCATATAGGGATGTAACGATTCACTCACTCAACAATTTTTCTTTTTAACAAAAATGAGATTTAAGACAAATAATAAATGAAAATGTGTCCTTTTATATTGCTTGCACAAAATGCTGCACATTTCTTTATGAAATTGAAATATGTCAAAAAACAAAACAAATTTTAAACTTTAAAACACACCCCAAATCAAATAAATAAATAAATAATACAAATAAAAGAAATCTCTTCATATAAACAAACTAAGGCTTTGCCTGTGCTCTTTCCATTTAAAATAAGAGGCAACCACTACGTTTTAATCACGATCCAGACAAAGTTGCTGCATACATGCAGTTTTTTATTTAAGTTAGATTATATAATTTCGAAATCTGAAGCAGAAACAGAATATTTTGACTTTATTAGAGGCAAACACTGTATTTTTAATCACGATTCAAACAAAAATGCTGCATACATGCAGCATGAGCAGTTTTTGATTTTAATTAGATTGTATAATTTCAAAATTTGAAGCAAATACAGAATGGTCTGACTTCAGCTTTGTGAAACTATACTACATAAAACATATCTGGACAAAACAGAAACAGCAGACTATGAATCGTCACATATTTTTATCTCGGGGTGCATCATTACATCCCAACAAATATTAGGATACAGGTGCATCTCAATAAATTAGAATGTCGTGGAAAAGTTAATTTATTTCAGTAATTCAACTCAAATTGTGAAACTTGTGTATTAAATAAATTCAATGCACACAGACTGAAGTAGTTTAAGTCTTTGGTTCTTTTAATTGTGATGATTTTGGCTCACATTTAACAAAAACCATATCTCAACAAATTAGAATACTTCATAAGACCAATAAAAAATAGATTCTCTATGGGGTTCAGGTCTGGTGAGTTTGCTGGCCAGTCAAGCACACCAACACCATGTTTTCTGTGCTTGTTGTATATTTGAAACCCCAGAGCGGTCATGGCTTCAGGAATAGTCCCTCATGTGATCTCAGCGTTGACTCCAGATCCTGAGTTTGGTTATGGGCCAGCGACTGAGTGTACGTGGTGTTTGCACTATTTAGTCAGCAGGTGTGGTCTTTTCTCCTTTCATAATAACTTACTGAACAATGACAGAGTGATGGAGAGTTGTGCTAAAACCTGTTTAGTGACAGTTCTTCCAGATGGCATGAATTCTCTTTCAATCTCTATATGAAACAAAAAGAGGCTAGTCCGTAAAACATCAGTTGAATTGTGTCATGCATGATGTTGTGGTTTGCAGTAATTCGGATAACTCGATGCTGATCGCTCAAGGCGCCCTCTCTCAGTGCAGTGCTGTTTTGATAACACTAGGAAGCGCGGTTGCTCAAGGAAACCTTGAGGGTGGAATAGAGTTGGTAAGTCAATACAGCAAAAAATGTTATACCCACATCACGTACATACTGCACATCTGGGTTAGGACGAGAGTAATTTTGAATTAGTGTGTT